GCTCCCTCATTATACTCGCATTTGCTCGATCAAGTGTATAGAACACGAGAAGTGATACAATTTAAATTTGGCACCGCATGTCGTGTTGTCCGCGACTTTATGCTGTTTGAACACTAGCATGAGCCAGCTCATGGTCGCTTCATGTGACATCGTACTTATCAGTGACCCCACATCGTTGGAACATTAGAGTGATCGCGCATGCAACCCACTCATCCGTGAACCCTACTGTGTTCTGTCTATTTCACACCTTTGTTCCGCAATTTCCCGTTGGTCAGCTCGATGCTGGTGTCATGTAAAACACCGCTTATTACGATGCCTTTAGTTTGTGTATTCCTTGTTCAGACCCCCTTCATTTCACCATCACTCAAACTACAGTCAAACCTGTCTAAGGCGACCACTCAAGCGACTCACAAAAAGTGGTCGCCTTGGACAGTTGGTTACTATGGACAGGTTCATGCATAGGGACATTACTCATAGGAGAAAACGTTGCAGATGTTATTGGCCGGTCGTCTCACACAGGTGATCGCCACAGCAGGTTGGACTGTACTAAGAAAAGAAAAGCGGACACCGGATGTCGCGTTTTCCTTGTCTATTTTCTCTCATAATTTTCATTGTAGCTTGCAAATATTGTGCACACAGATTATGCGACCAACGCTGATCATTTTGTGAGTTATCTGGCCTGCGTTAGTCATCTTTTCTAAGTATCCGGTCCACTGTGGAAAACATTTGTAATTGTTGTCCTCGTTGTTCGAAGGCCGCCGCCACAACTATTTCACCATACCGATACTTGCTGACTCTACCACATTTCCTAACTGAATCGCTTAGTATGCAACTGATTTATTTCTCTCACAGTGGCATTACACGGGATTGATGTTCATTTGCAAACACATGTAAATAGTTTATTGCGAAAGTTTTAGGCTAACATTTTGTATGCCACTCCTTTGAGGTTACTACCTCCGATGGTTTTCACGCAGTAGTGCGAACCTTGGTTCTTCCTACGCATACGAATGAGGGTCGACTGCTGCGCATCAGGGTACCACTTCATTTTTGGTTGCATTGTTCTATTTTAGAGATAAGGCTATCCGACACCGCTTAACTTTAGCCTTTTTGTACTTCTGTGAAAGGGGAACTGCCAGATTCTGTTTACGTTGGTCCATACTCCTTCACTGCTATTCCTAATACTGCCTCTCTACCCTAACCCGTACTGCTTTCTCCTTAAGCTAACATTTCCTCTAATGAGCTTCCCGACCCTGCGTAAACTGATCCGCAACCCAATCATCACGCCAGGGATTCCATTACTGCACGACTACTTGACCTCATGCGCCTGCCATTCATGCTGTCCACATTCAATTTGCTATTTTTTGTTCAAGTATTCCATGGAGCTTCGTCTGCACAATTCGGACCGTCCTCATCCTCCTTAGTTTGGTAGATCTTTAGCGTTTAGGCATCTCCGTACCCATTTATATAGGGGGAGTTTCCCAGTGTCTGCAAGAGGCATCGTACTTCTCCATGACTATTTCGCAACTACTATTTTGTCCAGCGGTATTTGGTGAGTATCATTGCTATCGTTAGTGATGCTTAAAGTTAATTGGGGATCAGTTTTGGCTATTCTGGTCAGTCATAGGCACTCGGTTAACTGGCCGCTTCTTACGAATACTGAAATAGGATAGCGAGAAGATAAAAATCTGTGTTACTCCATCATAGGCGAATCGGGCACATGCGCGGAAGTACGACGCTGATTCCTGCGCGGTGGCAGCATATTGCAGCTGCACTATATCTTATCCGGGTGCGATACGCTCCCTATACCTGCAATCAGCAAAGTGGGCGTCAAGGTATCCCTTAAATTCCGCATGGATTTCGCCTCCACTAGTGTCTCCGGCAATTTGTTCTAATATTTCACCACTCGACGCTCGAAGCATAGAGGGTGAGCGATACTCTTTAAATCCGGTACCACTAGTTTGTACCGCTGTCCACGTGTGCTGCTTGGTGCGCGAACATAGGGAAGTGGCCCAGGTGCAGTATCAGGTGCGTCATAATGAGATCAATTCGAAACCGACGATATGACAGGATATAAAGCCCTCGTACAACATGCCCCGTAAACTGGGGATGAGCCAGGTCATCATTATACACGTCAGCTAGAGGTGGGAAACACCTCAGCTACTGTGCCGCAGATGAGGCGGGTAGCTACATGCTGATCCCATTCCAGTCTCTGCACCTCACCTATTGTGATTGGACAATAGGCGGGTGAGTCGTACTCAAGTATCGGTCTTATCATGGTAGAGAACAGACAGGGGGCAATCTTTTCAGAGCAAGTGCAGAAGCTGCGTCTGAGCCCCCAAAGCAGGCGTAGTCCGTTTGCCTACAGTTTGTTCGTGTTGTCAACGTACTTCAGATCACAGCGTGAGAGTACACCTAGATACTTGACTGAGCTTGTGGGATACAGCGGATGGCCGGTCAGGGTGTACGCACGCCCATTACCACCCCTCTCCAGTCTCATAAACAAGGGCTTGGCCGGGTTGACCGGTAAGTCAACTTCCGTAGACCGCCGGGATAGGCGGTCGAGGTCCTGCTGAAGGACGTCACAGTCAATGCCGATTCGTCAGTGGTGCACCATTTTTCAGCTCGCTGCCTGACGCAGCAGGTTTGTTCTGTGATGACAGCCCAGTGCGTCGGTGTTATAACACACCCTAGTTGTTTCAACTCTCTTAGTCGGAACGGACGAAATGCTCTTCACACCACGTGCAGAGTATCGAATTGAATTTGAATCGATACGGCCTAAACGACCTACTGGTCAGATGTGTTTACTCGCCAGCTGAGACTGAAGACGAAGCACGTAACTTCACCTGCTACACCGGGACCCAGAAATAAACTATGACCGATATCCACAGTTCGTTTAGTTTGAATCAGCCAATGGCAAACATATCCCACACTTTCGTATTTATGACTCGATAGCATAATGGCGCAATGCATAGACTATAGAGGAAGATGAATGTCGGCAAGGCACATAAGTTGCAACATAATGGAGGTCAGTGTGATTTGGGCGGCAAGCACAGCAGTGTTCTGATGAGGCTTAGTTGGGTCATCGCGGGTTGAGACGGTAGATACAGCAGCGTTAATGGGGTGGACTTAACTAGAATTTGCGCCGTTTGTGTTGACATATAACAGCGTTTTCAACGAGGCAGTCTCAACTGTTACCTGCGCCTCTTGACTACAGTGTTGCTGTGTTGTGCTCTTCGCAAATTTCGCGGAGCTGTGCGAGCTCAGCAACGGGCTGCCTGTAAATTAACGCACTACACGTCACTCAGTTTGTCACATTCATTTAATCCCCATTATCATCCTCTCTTTCGTCGAATTCCACTCTTGATTACCGATATATTTTTCCTCCAAACACTGACACAAACTTCGGACAATGTGCAGCTTGTTCCTACCTGTTTTTTGTGTGTTGGGACTTTATCTGAATTGGCGTTGAACTTTTTGTGTGGCATGTACCGGCTCGGACTCTTGTCGACTGTTAACCTTCGTCACCTTACAATGGTAAGTTTGTTTTTTGAAACTCCATGGTACTTAGGCACAACGCGATCTTTTGTTGGGTCCTATCGGAATAAACCGAACGTCTTGTGTTTGTTTTCGTATCTATACTGAGCTCGATGATGACGAATATCCATCTAAGCTTCATTATGCGGATAGGTTGCTGTCCCTTCAGCTCATACTAATTAAGCCGATAATTGGCACGTTTTGTAGGTACCACTTCAAGTGGATTGCATTCATTTTTGTCGTCTCTTTTTTTACTGAAGGTGTCATATTTTCACTTTCTCACTTGGTCCATATGAAGTAATGGATCTGGATTGCTTCAACATTGCTTCTGTCATAGTGTTATTGTCACGTCTGCGATTAACAATGGCATTATGGATTGTTCAGAACGGGTGATCGCCATTATCCAAGAAATAACTGCTATCTACACTTCAGTCAACCCATAGAACTTTATTCTTGCACGCTGGATGCGCACGCGTTTGTCATGTCCCTCCCTGTGGTTGTTCCCAGCAGAGCCCAATCGAGTTGCGTTTGTGTGTTTGGAAATCATGAGCCTTTGTTCTAAATTCGTCTTCCCGAAATGGGAATGCCGTACGGTGCACAGGCGCAGCTATTCATTCTTGAGTCCCCAAATTAATTCTTGTGCAACTGCTAGTCACATTTCGTATGCCTAACTATCCTCCCACTTTGTCAAAGTGATGATCGTCCCAATAGGACGAAACGGCCGTCTAGCGCTTTCCTGGATGTGTGATGACTGTCTGTCTGTGTCTAACTGCGACGAATCTATACAAAAATACTCTTGTAGTTCTAACGTCGTTACCTCATGAATGTTTGTGGTTATTTGAAAATGCTTATTTTCGGATCACTGCTTCCCATGTATTACGCTTCAGTTTTAAGTGGGTATTTTCCATAACTACAGAAATTCTAACCAGTTGGCATAGCACCTGATGTTGTCTTCAGTAACTTCCGGCTTTCATCTCACAATGTGGCGACCAGATTCTACTCGACGTAAAGGAACCCCACTTCTGTGGACATGCATGCCGCCGCCACTTACTGTCATGCAGATCGTTCTACGCCTGAATTTTTTACTTTCATATCGGGTTTAGCTTTTCTACTAGTATCTATTATATCTTGCCCATATTCCATGGTTGTTTCTCGGAGCTCGTCACTTTGTATTTTTACTCTATCATAGCTCATCCTAAAATATGCAGTAGTCTTACTATATTGATCATTCCTTTCTACGTCCGCATGCTTTTATCCGTTAAGTATCTTTCAGTTTCTTCATTTCTTTGACGATTACACATGTGGTGTTTAACCTCGAGCCATCTAAATCACTGCTGTTCAACTCATAAATTCATAATAGCTTTCTACGGTTTTCTTGTCTGTTTCTGGGCGGAACTAAGCGTTAAGACCTTCAACTTGTTTCGATTCCTTATTTTTTTTCTTATTCTCCTAGACACCCGCCGATCGTACTAGTCCTGCTTCGCGCCAGCTGGGTCCTCGCAAAATGTCTGGATTATCTGCACTTAGTGACAGTCGTCGATCTTCCATTTCGGAAAAATCACTCGGACTTTCCGTTGCTTCACATTCTGACGTGTCGAAACTTGCTGAATCTCCCAAATCAACCGCCGCACCTAAACCCGAAGTGTCCGCACAGTCTGTTTCCCCGGCGTCCACTGCAAAAGTCCCTGTGACATCTGCTACGTCAACCGGGACAGCTTCGCATGCAGAATCTTCCGCCAAGCTTCCTCCTGCCAGCACCACCCATAAACCCCGCGAATCCAGCCCACCTCGTTTCACGCTCGGTGGCGGTAATGGTACGCACTCCCCGGACACCGAGTTGGAACTGGTCAACTTACGCGCGGAAGTCAAGTTACTGACAGAACAAGTGGAGGCGTTGCGAACGAAACGCGAGGAAGATCGACAACGTTTACAAGAGCTAGAACGCCTCAAGATTCAACTAGAACAATTGGAAAAGAATCGGACTTTGATGCGCGAGCAGGCTGCCGAATTGCAACGTCAGTTGGCACAATCAAAAACGGTGAGTTGCTAATCACCCTCTTTTGCTTGAGTACAAGATTTAGTGTTGCACCGGGTTCATTGAGTCCACATATCAAGTGCTTTGACTATAGCTACTTTCCGGGCATTGTTCTCGTCGGAAGGCGTCAGTATCTACGTAACGGTGGGCTACACCTGCGAGTATTTCACCGGATCAACAGATATGACCGAATAAGATGCGTTGCTTGGTGTACGTTACACATTCTTAATTCTTGATTACTGAAATGAGCTTCACTTTTCTCGGTTTTGGCGGGCGCATTGCTCTAACAACAAACAACAACAATGGCAACAACCGCAACGGTACACCAACCATTTGAACGGTTGCTTCGTTGCCACACAACCATGATGGCCTATGGAAGGAAGCATACTAAGTAGGAGAGAAGTTGGATTTGGTGTTAAACCTTAATGCTCCAAATAAACATTCAGGAGCAAGGCGCCCACACCTTGTGTCAACAACACACTGTCACAAACAGCTGACCATCGTGCAAAGATAAGACGGCGTCAGCGAGACAGCTTCTTTGCGGGTTTCACTGCCCCGCCTCATAATCAGCCATTAACCCGCAGATAACGCACCTTCAAACACGCTTTAAACCGGCAGTCCGACTGGAAGACGATAGCATGCACTCCACAAGTGCCAAATGCGATCCAGGTCCTTTAAAGTCACGAGCAAAGTACAAGGCGGGTTACGTGGACTCCAGCCTGCAAGGCGAGATCGACCAAGGGTATCCAGTCTGGTCGTCATTGACTTCATTTCCCTTTGCCAAGTTAATTTGCCCACCTCGGGCCTTAGAAGACATCTACAATACGCCGATACTCAGTACCTACGCTTCGTTGCAGCGCAGCCACCATCCGTCTCACGTTGGTTGTGGATGCTGCGAGAGTCGCTCTGCTCCTACGCAGGTTCGAACCCGCACTGTCAGCTTACAAGACAGGCTGCTGACTGACTTTCGGCTACAGGCCTTGCGCTACCTTACATCTGGCAAACAACGTGGCCCTCCTCGATAAGTCGTGACCGGGCTGTAGGGAAACAACCGTTTACCAAACAACGAGGAATGAACTTACTTGCGACTAAAGTGGCTGTTGATCCGTCTCACTTTTTTGGTTGGGGTCTACGCTTGGTTCGATCTCTCACTAGTCCTGGTTCGCAGCCAGCACCGTCAGCATGTCTACCCTTCGTCTCCTAGTCCGACTACCTCTTTAAGGTATGTATAACGCTTAGGTATCCGTGCGGACTCGATGTAATAAAAGTTGGAGGGCAGTTTTCCACCCGGCAGCTCTCCACATTCCCATGCTAGTCGGTTGTTCGTACCTTGTGCTGCTTGTCTCTGCCGTCCGCTTTCTACTTTGGCTTCCTCCTCTGTTTCCTCATTGGTAGGGTGATTAGTTGAGTCTGACCACAGGGCATCGTGCTGCTTATTGATTTTTAGGTGTTACTTAGGAACTATCTACTTCACATACGGCCTTAGTTTTTGAGGCTATGTCTGTTCCATTCGAGGTGGTATGTTGCAATCCAATTACAAAGCGGACCTTCCTAAACTCATCGATGTACAGCAGCCTACTTTTCTTTCACTTTTTAGTCTAGTTTTTGTTGTTTTTCCTTGTCCAGGAGAAGGCCGAAATTCAAGAAGCGTTTGATCGGTACCGTGAAGAAATGTCCGACCTTGTTGAAAACATGGAGATGGCTACACTTGACAAGGAGATGGCCGAAGAGAAACTGGACACATTGACAAGCGAGTTGGAATTGCTCAAAGAGCAAGTTGAGGAGTTGACCTTGGAGAACCAAATACTCAAAGAGGAGCACACAGACGGTAAATTTTATCGTCTATCTCTTGGTTGTTATTTGATTACACCAGATTTCAAAAGCTTCAGCCCATGTTATCAAATCGGATGGAGTCACCCGACAGTATTGGAAGCACAGCGATTGTGGATTGCACGGTGGTAGAGACTGTTCCACATTGCCTGCATGCTGTCATCTCACATCCATAGTGGTTTTCAGCACAATGACTGTTTTCCGGTTATTTAGTATAGAGGCGTATCGCTACAAAACAGCTTCTTTAGTCCCCTGATGTATATTGAATAGGATGCACATTATCGATGGCAACCAAGGTTTCTTTTTCGAATTAATGAACTGAATCGCTGCTTTTCAGTCGGTTTTGACCCTTTTCGGTTTGGTGGCACACATCACAAGTCATGACATTCAATTTCATCATGCTCGCCGCTCCTACGCACCACTATTTCTGTTGCAATTAGATGATGCTTCGGGCAATTTCCAATGTGTGACCACGATACAAATACAATAGCCATAAATGTTCGTGACTTTAGGTTTCATAACGTAAACGCACTTAAATTACCGATGAACTTCTCCTAATGATGACTTGAAACTGCTCGGACAGTTACAGCATTTTCTTTGACTTACCCAAGTTTTCAGTACAGTTCATTTAAGTAATTGTAGTTCTAACACCGAGGTGCAGTAGATTCGGTCTACATACAGCACACTACTATCTTTGTGCTAACTAACAACGGTGAAGGTGAGACAAAACCCGAGGTACAACTAAAAAGAGAGCAGGAACCAAAGCGGGCTGAAATTAACCTGGCTGCAGGGGATCGAATACAAAAACACGCTGTCGGATGGGATGCAACACCACTATTGTGACCCATCCTCCATCCACGGAGACGTTATTCGCCAGCTTGATCTATCTCTCAGTCAATTTTTTATTCGTTTTCGTAATATCATCAATTGACTACGCCATAATCTCTCCCAACAGAGTGCAAAAACATCGTTGTATGCTTGTTCATGAGCTGCGGTACTTCCTTGGTACGTACATCTAGGTAGGAGAACAATTCACGTTCTCAACCAAAGCCTTTGGCTCAAAGGCCGATCATTGATCCGGTTTTGTGACAGTGAATGCCACACTAGTTCCAATCTGGGGAATCAGGAGACTGAGCTCATTTAACTCTCAACCACTGACTAATCTAGTCTGCATAACTGTCAAGGGGCTCGATGACAGTACACAGTATAGCACAACGGGTTGAAAAGGTACACAAACCGTCGCACCACGTTAAGGTCTCTTGTCGATTTCGAGTTATGCATGCCGAGTTAGGTGATAACCAACTTGTTCGGTGGCCGCACTAAACGAGCGCCTGCATACGACCTTGCGACGAGGCACCGGGTCTCGAACGTATGCGCACCTGTGGCTGGCTACTCGAGATGCTGACGGAATCAGATGCACATCAACGGCTGACCAGGTAAGCAGGTAGTCATCTTCGGCGTACCGCGACGACGTGGCAGGCGTACGGTTGGTCTCATACGCGGACGACCAAGTATAGTACAGTAATGGCTAACAATGTTACAAGCAACCAGAGGATATGCAATCGAACAATCAAGGCCAAAGCACAGATAAATGGCAGACAGACACGTCCAAATGGGGACGCTTTGACCCACAAATAAACCCGTTTTCAGCCTGAATGTACATCCAGTCAATTGAGTACTGACTTCTGCTTTTCTTGTCGGGGTCAGGGCGCCAGATAGAGGACAGCGGTGGCAGCGTTACAAGGCATATATGATCTAGTCAACAGATCATTCGAGTCCGACAGCAAACTCAGTGTGGCATCATAGGATTTCTTTCTAAATATCAACAGACAGATTACAGTATTAATCATTGGGTCTAACCACTGGTGCCTAGTACGACCAGCTTCTTGAGCTCTTCATAGCGAAGGGTTTGCCCTTATTTTACTACAACGCCGTTTGTAACATATTGTTGTGCAACATGTTCGTGACCAACGGGCTATTATCCTTTTGTCTCATTAGATGATTTAGAATTCGGGAGGCCCCACGGGTTTTGTCCAATCCTGTACTTCGGGTATTCTGACGAAACTGCCCTGATCTATGGCAGCTTATAAACGTGTCAAGCAGAACTACAGAAGTTGGCACTGGCTGTCAGCCGTTTCAGGCTTTTCTTTGCACCGTCAAAGTGCAACGCTTTCCTCCAACATTGGCAGAGACCGCCTCCTGCGGTGACTCTTTTTGGGGATCAGCTAGAAGCCGTTCAGAAATTCAGCTACCTTGGCAGTTGTTTTGGCGTCTGTAGAATCAAAGACGAAGTCACGAATTATCTAGCAAAAGCTCGAGGCGTTTTTAGTGATCTTCCCCCCACCTGTGCCGCCGGCGCGACATCACTCTCTCTGAAGGGTAGTGTACAATACAGTCGTGTGTTCGACCCTACTGTGCGGTTGCGAAACCTGACCCATTATTTCGGCAAACGTAAGGTGGCCGGTTACGTCCGACCACCGGTGCCTTTGCAGTTTGGCTCATATTTTGTGGGAACATCGCGTGAGCAATTGGCGTGTTCGGTTCCTTGTTTATGACACAGGAAGAGGAAACGAACTTATCAGCACCGTTATTTCACTCACCAGGCTCCGATGGCTGGGCCACATGTTGCGCTTGCCATCACACCGGCCCCCGCGACTTGCGTGATCGGGGTGTGGATGGTAGAAGAGGAAAGGAGGCCAACGAGGATGCCTTGGGCAATAGGAATGAAGGGGCCTTTAGTCCAAAGGTGGCCTCGGTCGAAGTCTCTTGGCACCCTTGTTGAGGCACGAAAAATGATGAATACATTTGGTGGGATACACTTGTTGACATGTAAAGGAGCCGAATTCAGTGACGTTTGTGTTTCGAGTTTCTGTGTGTCTTCCCTTTTCGCTTGGCTTCCCCCTCCAATCACGCGCTCATTTTGGACGCATAATATGACTTTTCTTTGCAACATAATGATGATACTGATAATGAGTATTAACAAGGCAAAGAAATGTATCGATTGACTCAGGCAACTGTCCGGTGTTAGGGACAACCGATAGTGTGCCGGCCCAATCCTACCACAGTACCTTAATCTTTAAAAAAATTCAGTAGGCGTGTCGAATCTTGCGGTGCTCCGCATCGCTTTTGCCAGTTTCACTTGTGCACCAAATAGACGCAGCGGGTCGCAGTGATTGAAGTTCCACAATAAAACATGCGTATCGATTGTGAGAGAGCAACATTCTCGTAACGAAAGACCTGTACAGTCGGAATTTCAAACTCTAGCTGCCCATGAATTGATGGGTATGTGATTGTTATGGAGAAAATTCTCGCGAAACTTACGTGCTTCAGCACTACAGAATTACATTTTTGTGTGCGGAATTTAAGCATGACCTATTTAGCATGCACGAGTCTGTATGAGACGAGCTTGAATGTATCGTTATGAGGTGCCGTTAGATCATCGGTCAAAGGTAGATTGCTGTCACCGCGGTGGTAATTTTATCATTTATGTCAATGACGGAATTGGAGCCTGTGTGTATTATTTGCGATTCGTTCTCATGGCAGGAGAGTAGTTCACAAATCACTCTTACTGCATAGATCATGAAAACTGGCGCAGTCGGGCTGATCTTCTTGATTGGCATTGCCTAAAACTGTTTTTCTCTGGTATGCAGCGACACGCGCTGCATGTGTGCCCAAAAAGCAGACAAAACGGACAAACCGAGGCACGGGGGAGCGCAGGGTCAGGGCCGTGTTTTGGAAGCATAACAGGCCCCCGCCTAGCGTAAATAGCGGCCAGTTTTCATCGTGTTCCGCATGTAGCTGTTTTTTTTTAAATTTCCGTCGCCTTTAGGCAGATTTGTGCACGATCTTCTGGCCAACAGGCTTCAACTGTTTTATATCGGCTAGTTTTTTCATTATTGTGTACTCGGTTGAGCATCTCTTCACCCTACATCAGCTTGATGAGCAGCGTCACTGACTGATAGATTTTAGCAATTGCAGAGACAACTGATAACTTGTTTTTCGGTTAGTTGTAAAATTCCAAGCAGTGTAGTGCTTCTTGCGCTTTCGTGTGGACCATTGGTTCGACGGTCTCGCTTGGTAGCTACATTAACCGCATCAGGTATTTGCATGTCGAAGTTAGTTTTTTTTATCTTTAGTTAGAGGTGACATCATAAAGCTGTGGCTTTTTTAAGCACCAATCGGGCTTTTTCTATCCTCAGTTCCAGTGTTCAAGCGTACGCTAACGGTCGGTGACCAGATAAATTTGTTACTTCAGTCGATTGCACTGAATCATTAGCATTGGTTTGGCAGGTGGTATGTATGCCTGTTTATCGCTTCTTGTGGATAGCCCCTGCTTATTCTATTTTAGATGGTTGTTGTTTTAACAAACCGATCTATGACCTGTCGACGGAAAATGAGCTTACATATAATGAACTAGTGGTTCACGCGCTTTATCTTGTTATTTGGTGGTTTTACGAGGGCATGTTCACCCCGTCCACTTATTTAGTGTCGTCTCCCTGTCTAATGGTTACTGAAGTATCATAGCACTGACTTATCTGGGAGGTAAGGTTTATCATTTCGCCGATAATCTCTCATTCCCCATACTCTAGGTAGCTGTTTGTAACCGTGTGGCTTCTGTACGGTGTATGTGCCCTCATCATCATCATCATTACACACTAGCGGAAGACGAGAAACACACTTCAACTATTGTGTTGCAATACCTAAAGACATACGAAAAAGCAATATACTGAGAAGTATGGAATGCAAAAATCAGTAACAGATTGTGCGTCAAGATAGAGCTCGTGGCTGGTAGAGGAAGATAAGCAGGATTGTAAGGGACAGAAACTTACAACACCAACGCCATTAAAGTAGGCTCCTTGCCATGTCAAATAGTGCATCCAGCCAAACGTGTCCATCGTCCTTCGGACCCCAGCCAGGCAGTTGTGACACACCAACCGACGGCAACTTCGAAGTGAGAGATTTCATTTCTTTTGACCAAGTCATTGGTTGGCCACCGCTCCTCTTCCTCCATCCACACCCTCGGCGCGCAAACAACGCACGTCGCGGGAGTCGGTGGGATGGCATGCCCAGCCATCGGAGCCTGGTGCATGATGTAGCGGTGCTGAGCGATTCACTTGCTCTTCCTGCAACAAATACGTGACGCTGAACACTTTCATTGCTCACGCGATGCTCCAACTAGACATTAGCTAAGCTGCGAATGGCAGCGATGATCGAACGTAGTTAGCCTCTTCGTGTCTGTCGACTTGGTGGGCCAGGTTTTACACCCATACAGTAGAGTCGAACGAACAGGTTCATTGTAAACTCTTTCCTTCAAGGCGAGAGTGATATCGCGGCGGCGCAACAAGTGGCGGAGATTGGCAAAAGCGCCTCGAGCTTTTGCCATGCGGTTTGTGACCTCATCTTCCACTCCGTTGACGCTGATACAGCTGCCTAGATCTTTGAATTTCTCGGCAACTAGCTGATCACCATCAGGGTTCAGCGCAGGACTGGATCCCTGCCAATCTTGGAGAAGGACTTTGCACTTCGATGATGCGAAGCATAGCCCGAAACGATTAACAACCAGAACTAATGTATCCAGTGCAACTTGCACGTTTGGTAGCTGTCACAGATAAGCGTAATGTCGTCGGCGTACTGCAAGTCAAGAAGTGGTTCACCTGGGAGCAGCTTCACGCCTTGCAGGTTGTGCCCGGTGAACGCGATTTCCATGACTTTGTCGATAGAGAAGCTGAAGAAGAAAAGTGGCGGCGGCCATCCTTGTCTCACACCGCTGGAGATATTGATGGGCGGCGACGATTTGTCGCAAGCCCTCACTCTGCTTGAACTATGCGCGTACGGCACTCTTATAACGTGTTTACATGCTTATCGGGCAAATTTTTTCTCAGTAGACAGTCCCAAAGCGCACAGCGATCGGAGGAATCGAAAGCACCTTTCATGTCGAGGAACACGACTACGGTGCCTCGCCGATAAATATGGCGGTGCTTCAACAATTGACTTAGTGTAAACATGCAATTAATACAGCTGCGACTTGTACGAAATCCGACTTGCTCCTTGCGAATCTGGCTTTCACGGGTACCATCAAGTCTATGAAGAGCGACAGAGGTGAGTATCTTAGAGGCAATTGAGATTAGACTGATTCTTCTATGATTGCCGCATTCAGAATGTGTATGTGCGCTGATCGTGCGCGTTTGCTCGGGGTGCCCATCTCTCAGTGTGCGCTTGATTTTTCTGCTTTTTCCTTATCACTAGGGCCATTTCATATCACGTGTGCAAATACGGCAGTGTGATGCATGTACAAGTATCAACCTGCCGCCGTTGTCGAGGCTGTTGATTATGATTTTTTAGACATAATTAACTACACATTGTTGATGATCGGGCTGGAACCACCCCGAAACTCTCCACAATCGACTGCTATTCTTTTCTGCCGTCCGCTCAGATCATAGTTTAGTTAAGATTTGTAATTCTGTGGTCGTTGTGTAGCTATGAGCCCGCAGTCTTTTAATTAAATCAGACAGCACACACTTTTTCCGTCACTTCTCAGATTGCAATCATTGCTAATATTCCCACTATCAGCATCTTATATCTTGTTTTCGAGACAAATTACCTAGCATTCTAATTATACTTTAGAGGGCTCGTCGGGGTACATAGCATTTAACCCGCAACGACACACTCTTTGTCTAAAACGCCTGTTTACCAGATCGTACTCAGGGAGTTTGTGGTGCCCTTTCACTCAATCTTTTGTGTGGGACTTCTTAATCCAGCCGGTTGTACTGTTTGGTTATTTTCACTCTTTTCAATTCTCTGCTTGGTCGAATCAGGTTTCATCAATTGTGTTTATCACATTCGCCAGTCGAATCATTTTCGATCCGCATTTGCAAATACTCCCATTTACCTTGCATTTCTGCCAATGGTAGCTTTTCGATTGCTCTCTAGGTCGCACCAGAGGGTCTTGGTTGTTTCGGAACCTGCCTGCTGACAAAGAAACCTGGTGAACCAGTCATACTTAAGTAATAGAAGGGGCGGGAGCACTAGACCATTATGGCAAGCTCTTCCAGCTGATCCGCACTACTAGTCACAGTAAAACAGGCGTCAGTGAAACAGAGACAGCACGGGTGCCACGATTCACCATAAGGAGCGCCGTTTTGCTCGATTGGCGTAGCACTTTCAAGATCAGTTTAAGTTTATCCCCTGCTTTTGGACCTCTTCCTACCCAGGTGATGGGGCTGAGCCATGGACAGTTTGGAGGCTCCATCGGAGGCTGAGGTCCGAAACTTGATCGCAGCTCTCAATCAGTTTCGTGCCGCCGGCCCGGATTTTCTCGCATCCACACTGTTTAAAGATGTAGGTGTGGTCGTCTGCAGAACACCGACCTCTGTTCGAACAGATCATCCCAACTAGTATCAATATACAAGCAGGGCGATCGCACTGATGTGCTAACCACAGGGTAATTAGCTGAAAGCCCGTGTTGAAAAAATTACTGACCTCGATTCTTGTTCGTTGCCTCACTTCTCAACGGTAATCCCAGATAAGGGAAGAGCCAGCAGGCTTCCGCCAATAGCGGATCTGTCTAAATTATATATTCACTCCGCGACAGGTGCTAGATCAGCGGCACGCTTACCTCGGACTGACAATAGCTGTGTCCCTAGACTTCGATCGATTCTGTTCTAAATACTTGCGCGAAAAGGTGTTCCCACGAAATATGTGAACATCCTTCGTGCTCTATACTCGAACACTACAGGCCGCGTCAGGGTCTACGGTGTCCTATCGGATAGCTTTCCGACCACAAGTGGCGTTCATCAGGGTTGTCCGATTTCCCCATTTTTGTTCAATTTCGTCGTGGATTCTATCATGGCGTGTTCCCTTGCGGAAGCTCACGATGTAGGCATTGAGATCCTGCTTGGTGAAATATTAGTTGATCTTGATTATGCGGACGACATCGTCTTGCTTTTCGACGATGTTGCGGCAGCACAAATAACCCTGAATAGCCTGTCTAGAGTGGTTCCATTATTTGGTATGCACTTCGCACCTTTAAAGTGCATTGTTGCTACAGGACCATCAGCCACTTAATGACCCCTTGACCCTTGATAACGAGGAAGTCGAGGTGATTGATTGATTCACTTAGCTTGGCAGCTGCATCAGCAACGATGGGCGCATAGAAACTGAAGTCAGCTCACCCATTTCAAAAGCCAGAGTTGCCTTCTTGAACCTGCGGCATCTTTGGTGACAGAAGGGTATTTCCCTCCGTCCTAAAGGCCGTGTATACAAGGCCACAGTGCGGCCCCTTATGCTCTATGGGAGCGAGACTTGGCCCCATCGGTCTGAAGATCTGAGGCGCCTTCAAGTCTTCCATCATCGTTGTCTACGAAGCATTGCTGCTGTCGTATGGCACCACCGTGTACGCAACGATGATGTGCATAGGCGAGTACTAGACAATGCTAACCAGGCTTGTTTCTTAGAACAGCAGATAGGAGTGAATAAGTTGCGTTGGCTTGGGCACCTACGACGTATGCCTGGTCACCGCTCACCTAGGAGGGCTTTGTTTAGTCTGCCAGATGTAGGGTGGCACAAGGCTCGAGGTGAACAAAGATTGACTTGGCAGTGGGAACTTAATTCATTGACGACCAAACTGGATACCGTCGGTCCGTGTCGTCTTGCAGGCTGGACTTCACTTGACCCGCCTTGTGATTGTCTCGAGACTTTACAGGACATGGCTCGCAGTCGATAACAGTGGCGTGTTTGCTGTGGGCTCCTAGTCGAACTGCCTGTCTGAAGTGTGTTTGGTGCTGAGTGATGGCAGATTATGACGCGGGGCAGTGAAAGCCACAAGGAAGCTGTCTCTCTGATGCCGCCGCATCTTTGCGATGGTATGTTGTTGACAAGGTGTGGGCCCCTTGACCCCGAATGTTTTTTTAGAGTATTAGGGTTGTTGCAGAATTATTTCCTTCAAGGACATGCGTTTATTTATCCAATTGAACTCGGCGAATTTTACAGCGTGTTTGACAAGCCAAACTCCTCGATATAAGTTGACGTTCACGTCCATAACTAACGATGTTGTTCTTCCTTTGACTCAGCTAAACAAACGTTGAGTAACTCGCATGTCGGCCAATCCGCATTCGGTACTTCATTCCGTTACATCTGTCTCCTTTTGGCTGTGTGCCTCTCTCGGTTGGTCCATCCGTTCACACTGGTATGCCACTCTTATCACTGTCCCCTTTCTCTCGCTCTTATTAATCTTGGTTCTGCAGGTCACGACGGTTGTACAACAGTGAAGCATCAGTTCAGATGGCTTGTGTGCTGCTGCTCTTTTTGCTATCGACTAATTTTGTGACGGCTGTATTTAAATGTGCATTGACGGCCATTGGACAATCTACTTTTGGCTGCTTCATCCTTTTGCGACTCTGCAGTCGCGAACACTGTTGCCGAATCTGACGCTAATGGGATTCATGACCATTCACCATGGAGGTCTTGATCTTCCTGCTGTTTTCTTTTGACGTTATGAGTTATGTGACAGAGGCTAGATGTAAGGAACCTAGTTGGGACTTTTATAACTCCTATTTTTATAACTCCTACTCATCATATATCCTTAATTGCCCGAGCAGCTTTTGATAGCCTATAATGGGTGCTGGTTTTGCGAAGAGAGTTGTAATCCAGTTCCCCACGAGGCAATAACGTGCGCAGTGGTGGAATATGATGAGCGCTGTCTCACGATTGGTAACTCACTCACCGGACAGGCTTGAGGTTATAAAATCATGTGCGGCACGTGTTCGCAACACTGATGGTATCCAGCGCCCAACACTACCACACCTCCTTCTCACCTCAATTCCCAGCCTCTGCAACCACGGAAGGTGGTCCGACGCCGCAGCAATTGAAGAATCTGGAACAACAAAATGAGCGCATGAAGCAAGTGCTTATCAAGCTGCGCGATTTGAGCAATCAGGACAAACAAGAGATCACGCGAATGACGAAAGAAGTATGTTTTTTCTCTTTTTGCTGTTATCTGTGTGAATGTAGTCTGTCTACTCTTCTCCATCTGGGACACTTTCTGTTTCACTTCCTTGGCTGGGTAGTTTCATTTTATTTACACATGCACTCTGGACTGTCCTGGAGTGTAGTCGCCTGTTTTTCTTTCACGGTTGGTCTAATGCTTCCGATAAGCTCACTCATCGATTCCTCATGCTACCTTTAGCCACCGCATTTGTCTTCTATGCACTAGTCTACATTGAGACTTCGTTTAATCCGAACGCGACTGCGAATCTCTCATCTTCCATTCTCTCCACTTAGATCGCTTCTCTTGAGTCCGAGGTGGGTCAGTTAACAACCGAGAAGGATCGCCTTGCTTCCGAGCTGAAGCATTCACTCGAGCAAACGATCGAGCTGAAAGAGCAAGTCGACGCAGCTCTCGGTGCGGATCAGATGGTCAGCCAGTTAACTCAACGTAATCTGGAGCTGGAGGAACAATTGGAAAAGCTCACGGAGGAGCGTAACGATCTGGTACGTGCTGACTATTTTTAAAAAAGACACCTCGTTCCAATCTTAGTTGTTTTCTGTCCCGACAATTGCCGGAGTTCCGTCACTCTTAACAACTTCAGTTGTTATTAATGACTGTGCGAATTAGTTACTAACTAAATAAACGCATAGTTTGTACTCGAGTTACACGTGACACGTCTAAACAGACGTAATCAACTAATTACAGAATCTTTGCTGAACATGAAATTTAGCGTGTTTTTTGACTGATCAGCTTATCTACTACTAAACAATAGTGATCGTGTGTGGGTGTCCAGACTGAATGGGTTCGGTGAAACCTGATTGGATTAGTCTAGAAAAATTTACAGGAGCTAAGTAGGATTGTAAGGGCAAGTCTGCATGAGCAAGAATTTGCTTGAAAAAAAACAAAACGCTATTATCCGCAATCAACTGGCTTGATGTCACAGTTTCAGTTAAAATTACGGTGTAATAGATTTGTCATCTGACTGGACTGCTTAATCGTCGGATTTTATGGAGGTGAGACGGCAGAGTACAATGGGGTTTTAATCGAAGCCCTGTCACAGACAAGGATTGGTCCTCACCTCAAATGTAGCAGAATAGTAAACGATCCAACTCGACCGAATGTAAATGGAAAGTTTTGTTCAGGCGATTTCAGACTAGAGCCTGCATAATATCACCGGGATAACTCCAGTCAAATAGTATGTGAGTGTTCTTGTGACTGTCAGATCCCCACTTTTTCACGCTATTCCGAATTAAACACAAAAATTTTTCCGCAAAAATTCTAGCTCAGCTGAAGAAAAATCGAAATTCCAATGACCTTGACCACGACAAAGGTGTTAACAAAAAAGCTGCCAAGGTAGCCAAAAATGCCGCCAAAACGCTGTACCACTACGCCAGACCTACGCCAAATATATAGAGGCTCAATGACCTTCGGCTTATAGGAAACGAAGGCCAACTGGTATAATTAATAGGCTCCCTGCCAAAACTCCGTATGCAGGCGATCACCTGAAGGAATGGAAGGTTCCGGAATTTTCGAAATCAATGCACGATCGAGGATAATCAATTAATTGCTAAAATAATGGTTTTCCTCTATCTTTTCACCTTTTCTCGGATAGTGGCTTTTTGATGAACCGAGCCCAATCGTTGAGGCCATAAAGAACCACAAGACTTTTATGCAGGATAACGATGGTAATCCTCCGGGTACGGTAGGTGATGGTATTGACGGGTCTGTCATCCAAAGCCACCGTGTAACTGTGAAAAGGGCAAACGTTAATCCTCCGATTACATGCTGAAAACCTTGCGTAATATCATCCGGGTATCTCCAAGTAGGTACTTTCTGAGTGTTCTTATAGTAAGTAGTAATAGTAGTATTGATTCTTCGCCATGTGTTATTTGAACGTGGTTGTTCTTACAGAGAGCTTCGTGTCTGGAACGTTCCTTGCAACATCTAGCTTACAGAATCTGCAAAGGGCACTGCTAATGGATAAGTACTCTAGCATTTAACTGTATGTCAAGCGAGATTCGTTAACCGTGGAAGGGGACAGGGATGGTCATGACCACCAGTGAGCTACAGCCATGCAGGCGTACTAAGTTCAACAGGGAAAATGTGATACGAAAAGGCGGTATAGAGCATCATGTATAACCGTGAACGAAGGCTCGCCAGCTATGAAGCCCACGGGGGACAGATATAAGAGCGGTTGGAGAGTCACACCATCAGGATTGGCCTGCAGGTCGTGAACTGGTTGCCTGAATAAGAGGAGATGAAGATGGGAAAAAATCCCAGAAGATCGACACCCATGTACTCTGCGATAGCATCCAATTGTAGGGTTAGAAACTCATCGAGGTTGCCGTACGCTATGCTGTTTACTAGACACTACTCAATAACGCACTGATGATTTCACCTCGATTGCTGATGAAACGTCTAAAACAAATTGCCAAGCTCATTGAACAGTTCTACCGCCATCACCACCTATTCTCTGAATCCATGTCAGTTCGGAAACATGGTTGAAGAGTCCAGCAAGGGGCTAAGCACTTTCTTTTGTACTGTTACGAGTTTATGGACACAACCAATCAGAATTTTCAATTGTACCTCAGTGCTCTGTTTCCAGATGGAATCTTTGTGGTTGCCAGTAGGCAGGACTTCAAAGGTGGAGGCATGGAAGCCATGATGGATATACATAAGGGATTCACCCCATCGGCTATTGGCGCGCCCATTATAGAATGTAGCCCTGAGTGTGACGAGGTGTATCAGGTGCACTGGAGGAGTGTCCTGTTTTAATAATGAACACCACCTAAGACTGATAGTATGATTAATGGGCTCATTTGGTGTTTCTTATGTTTGATGAACTGGACCTTAGTGTGGTGTGACGGATTGCGTACCTCGTCGACCCATTAAACTATACTGGAGCCTCTTACGAGCTACTCCCACCAGGTTGGTCAGTGCTTAGAGAGCAGACGAACTCTGCCTCCTGGTCCTCCAGCTTTGGGGTTTGAAATAGGATGGCGTCCATTTCTGTAAAACCGAGTCCCTGTAGT